AAGAAGTCCTTAAAATGACAAGAGTATCAACACCAACATCCACGTGTGTTTGTAGAACAACACAAAAAATATCCCCAAAAATATAAGAGTAAAGAGGGGTCTTCAACTCCACATTTTTTTATCAACCTCAATTTTTTTTTCATTGTTACCCTTAGGATCCTGCAGAAATAAAAGAAAATACTTTCTCTCATTCTCTCGTTTTGCCTAGGTGCCCTTTCGGGTTTTCATCCCAGCTTCCCACATTTTTCTGTGTCAATCCTCACAACTCACTCTTATTTTTGCTTTATTTTTGCTTAAGTTGCCTTTTCAGGTTTTCAACTTAACAAGCTTTTTATTCTTTTTTTTTTGAACATTTTTTTTTAACAAGAATAAAGAGTATGAATGCGAGTAGTCCATAAAACTCTCCCCCCAAGCTAGCCAAAGCACTGTCCCTAGTGCTCATCTTCAAGACGTCATAGAAGATGAACCCTTTTTGTGGTGCCATTTCTTTCTTTGTTGGTTGAGCAAAATTCTGACTTGGTGTAGGTGGAGTTAGGGAATTCGGATTTTTGGGAAATTTGGTGGGTTTTGTTGGAAAAGAAATGAAAAAAAAGTGGAGAGAATAAGAAGAGTATGTGTTTAGTTTGTGGATTTGGTGGATGGTTGAGGTGTGAAATTGTAACTATGGAGATTTTTGGGTTCGAATTTTGGGAAGAAGAATGGGGCGATTTTTTTTTTTTTTTTTTTGAAGAATGGTCTGGTTTCCAAAAACTCGAGATACCCGGCCGGGTGGGGTAGTGTACCCGGTCGGGCGTTTCACCCGGGGTGGCAGTAGTTTTTTTTTTTGTGGTCACGCCCGGTCGGGTGTAATGAGGTACCCCGGTCGGGTGGGATTTATTTTTTTTGTTTTCTTGGTCAACCTCGCCCGGGTGATGGGGCGGGTATCACATTTTTACCCTAACCCGACCAGATTAAATGAGATGCCCGGCCGGGTATATGCCCCAGACCTTCATTTTTCATTTTTTTTTTTCATTTTTTTTAAAAGTGCAAAAATAAAATGAAACAAGTAAACGCACCTTGCCTGGGTTGCCTCCCAAGAAGCGCCTCGTTTAACGTCGCGGCACGACGCCATCATTGTGTTCAATCGTTGAAGCTTGGATGGTGGTAATTCATCTTCTTCACATTTTCACTCCTAGGACTTACATAGGAATGCTCAATTTTCCGACTCTTAACTTTGAAAATCTTTCCAGGATCAAATATCCAGATTTTCATTGATTCATGTGGGAGGGAGGGGAAGAAACTATCATTTAGCATGGTCAATGAAAAGTTTTTCGACCCCTCAATTTTGAAGAAGATTTCGGAAATGTCATTGTCCTTTTCAAGTTTATGAGTTTCTCTTAAAGCGTCCAGGGATAATGGAGATACCTCAAAGGATGACAATGACAAAAATTTGAATTTGAAGCTCGGCTTATCCTCTTCTTTGACCAGTTGGAGCTCTGTGTCTTTTACTTCTTCTACTTCTTCTGGATTCTGGATCTCCTTTTGCATTTCCTTTTCATTTGTCAATGTCATTGCAAAAGTTTGCTGTTTAGGAAGTTTTTCCGAATCCCTTGCTTCAAGCCTACTCACGGCTCCGGCTATTTGACTCATTTTAGTTTCCAAGTTTAAAATGCTAGACTTGGTCTCATTTTGGAATTGCACCATGTTGTTTTGCATGGTGGTCATGTTGGTAGCAATAGCCCGGACCATATCCTCCGTAGACATGTTAGAGTTGGAGAACGGATCATACCTCATGTGAGGTACATCCCTTTCATAACCAACATCATCAATTTGTTCAAGGTATTCATCTTGGAGCTTTGGGCAGAAATCCGTAAGATGTATGTGAGACATGCAAATGTTGCATGTCTTGGCATCTTGAGCTTTTGAGCTTAAGATAAATTCATTTATTAGAGAAGTCAAGAAGGAAATTTGACTCTCTAAGGATGAAATGTTGGTATCCATACACTCATAACTCATGTAAGCTCAGAAAATAGAAGAGTAAGTTTTTTTTATTTTATTTTTTTTTTATTTTTTTTTTGTTTTTGATTTTTATGAGAATAAAATAAAAAGAAAAATAATTGCCTCTCCCCGGCAACGGCGCCAAATTTGACGTGCACTTTGTCACGGTGCGTCAAAATAAATTCAATACTAGCACTTATACGTAGTATAGTGTAGTAGAGTTCGTATCCACAGGGAAAGGAATAATTCTCTTTTTATGAACTAGTGAATAAAAGGGGGGTTTTGATATTGTTGGAATTTAATTAATTAAATACTAAGATGAACGAGTTATATGTGATTTAATTCAAAGATAAAAAGGACTTGGCATTGCTACTTTCCACTTGTTGATATATTTTAGTCGATCATTGTTATATCTATAACTTATTCCCTCTCGAATACTCAATCTAGGAGTATATCCAATTCATCGAGGGTAGCTATTAACAACGACCGTTCATTAATAACCCTTACTATTAGTCAAGTATAGAACACCGTCATATACCGACTTAATAGTAGCATTTAATCTCTTAACTCCTTGATGAAATCAATTGAGATTGATAACCTCAACACAACGGTTTCGGTTTAACCAACAAAATTAATCCCTCTTAAGTTTATTAACCACGACCGTGCATTAATAAACCGAAGTTACTTACTTGTGAAGCCATCAACGATTAACCATCGGTTCGTTGATCGTTTCTAGTAGTAATTAATGTCGAGATGTTAACTAATTGTCATCTTAGCAACACTCCCCAACATTAATATAGAGATAGATTAAGGGAAGAATTAATATTCAAGGAAGAAGATTAAATATGAATAATCCTACTATAACTAATGTCAAGATGTTATCTAATTGTCATCTTAGCAACACTCCCCAACATTAATATATAGAGGAAGAAAATAAATACTACCATAATTAATGTCGAGATGTTTACTAATTGTCATCTTAGCAACACTCCCCAACATTAATATATAGATAGATTAAGAGAATAATTAATATTCAAGGGAAGAAGATAAGAAAATAACTCACAACTTTAATAATCAACAAGCTTCAAGAGCAACACCAAGAAATGGAAGTTTAGCTCCTCATTTGGAGACTAAACATGCTATAAACATATAAAAGAAATACTATTCTAAACTGAGCTTAAAAGTATGGAAGAATGAGTTCTCATTTGTGAAGGAAAATGGGGTTATTTATAGGTGTTTTCAACACCCTGGGGCATTGACCCGCCCGGGTAAAAAGACATACCCGACCGGGTCAACGTCAAAATCAAATATTTCCCACATTCTGGCGATCTTCGGCATGTTCTGGTGTTCCGGGTCACATCTGACCCGACCGGGTCAAATAAGTGACCCGCCCGGGTCTAGTGACTTTCTCAGCAGTTTCTGATTCTTTGTCATACCCGACCGGGTGAAGTATTGTACCCGGTCGGGTTTGTGCTTCTGGGCAGCCAAATCTTATTTTTCTTCACTTCAAAGTCCTCCTTTTCAATACCCTAATTCCTAACTCTACTTTACAACTTACAAATGAAGATTAAAATACAATTACAACTAAAATCACACAAATGTTTACAAACTAAATAAAACGGTAAACAAACCACACAAATCAAACATAAAAACATACACTTATGCACTACTAATTAGTGCATATCATGATATCAATTTAAGTCATCTGTTTCGACGATAAAAAATGCATTTATAATATCACAGTTATAATCAATAACTTTTTAATATTATGATGGGTGTGCTAACTTCTAAGCTAAATAAGGAAGAAAACTCATCGTGAGAATCAATTTTTTCCATTATTGACACATGTTTTCCATTCAGCGAGCTCCTCGATGATGCAATCTCATCTGATTAGCAACAGTCTTTGACGATGACGACGTTCTAAGGACAATAATGAATTCAAGATTTTTCCTATGTTGTTGCTTCGGGCTGTCAATGGATACGATACAGGCCAGAATTATATATTCCGTTAAATTTATTTTAGTCCAGATATGAACATGTATACCCTACGAGTCTCCAAGACTCCAATGTATGTCTAGGTTTCGACCCGGTGAGTCTCAAAACTAGGGGTGGACTCGGGCCGGTCGGCCTGACCCGGGACCGGCCCGGCCCGGTCACTGTTTGGCCCGGCCCGGCCCGGTCACTGTTTGGCCCGGCCCGGCCCGTGGCCCGGTGGGTCCACCGGTTCGGTTTGGCCCGGCCCGGCCCGGGTGCTTGGCGGTCCGGGCTCGGGCCCAGCTTTTGGTGAACCGGCCCGACCGGTTCGGGCCCGGTCCGGGCCGGATTTTAATTTATTTTTTTTTGAAATTTTATTAAGTTTTAGGTTGGATTAGGTATTTTGGGCCATTTGAGGTGGTTTGGGATGGTTTGGGGTTGAGGGGGAGGGGTAGGGGGTTAAATAGGAGAACCAAAAACCAAAAACAAAAATATGTGGGCCGGTTGGCCCGGCTCGGCCCGGTTTGGCCCGGAACCGGCCACCGGCGGTTCGGGCTCTGGCCTAGAATTTCTGAACCATGAACCGGCCGGGCCCAGGCCCGAATCGGCCCGAGTCCACCCCTACTCAAAACTGGACCTCGGTGTTGTTGTTGACATGCTATTGTTGTATTTCTATTGTAAATTATTTATTATACTCAGTCTTTGTATTGGATATTCAATCCAATTTGAAAATACGTTATGTCTGTGTACAAACAAAAAAAAACTCTTCACAGACACGAGTGTGTAGGTGTGCGTATGAAAAATGTGTACCAATAGAATTTTTGTTGGATATTTGTGTTGCATCTGATACACAAAACACCTTGAATAATTCAATTAAGATAAATTGCAATCAACTTTGATGGGTTATATGGCAATTGTCAAGTCATCATATTTTCCCAGGTTCTGAAAATGTTTCCTTTTACTTGTTGGAAAGTCCTATCTTCGACCTTTACATCAATTCTAGTAAAGAGAAATATCGAATAAATAAAGTAAGAAAAAGTAAAAATGATTTAGAAACAATTACCTTATTTATTAAATTAGCAGGTGCGAGTACAAGAAAAAGGGGGCATAAGTCTTACCCAAAAATGTTAACAAAAATATGAAGAGATACAATTAATGAAGGGAGAAAAAATAAGGATATTAAATATTAAAGGTAGTGGAAAGTCCTGCTTGAGTGGATAGCTCTTTGTTGAATTTGATGTGGAACTTTATGGCGCGCTGTATGTACTCAATTTGAAAAACATGTATCTTGTCAGTCCTTTGACAAGCTTATATGGCGATTGGAATTCGAATTCTTCTTGGTATTTCATGATCTCATCATCTACTTGTAGTGATTTTGCCTCTTCGCTGGTGATCACGGGTTGGTGGATTTGATTCTGATCATTGTCATATCCCATGTAATAATCTTGAAATTGTTGTTCATTTCTTTTCTTGAAACAATTGTAGTGAAACCCTCTTATTCGTCCTTAATTTGAGAGCCCCTGTCTAGGTATTTTTTCAATTCGAGTGCAATCTCCACGGGTAAAAAATTGAAGTCCCACCAGACAATTCTGCTTTACTGCACCCAGATTCTCTTGCGATGCCAACATGTTGTGTTGGTTCGCAACAGCTTTCTACACTATCTTAACTTTTTGGAAGAAGCTGTGAAGGATTTCTGTCCATTCTGGAATTGATAGGTCCAAGTTGTCATCAAATTCTCCTCCTGAAGTGCGGCTTTTCTCGACCAGAATTGTTTTTGGATTACCAATCCTCTTTATTGAATCGTCTCCGTGTTAATTTTCAGCGTTGAATAATGTGATCTTCGGTATCCTTAATATTATGATGTTTTGATCAAACTTAATTACTTACTAGGATCTTTAAATTCCCATCAGTGGAGTGTGTTGAGGTTATTTGTGGCACCTCAATTTGACTTGGAAGTTAGAACCTCGTGGTCTGGTGCGGAGGTTCTTAGTGCAGCAGATCATCCTTATCTTGTGTTGCCAGGGTTGAAGCTAGTGTGTTGGCCGGTGTGATGGTTCTTGTGGGCGGGTAGTTTTGTTTGTGTATGATTTTTCATCCTTTTGAGACATGTTCAACTTCTCGATAGAGTTGTTGTATCAGTGTCTGTTTTGAAAGGTTTACCGACTAGATTGGCTCTTAATCTATTTAAAAGAACAATGTTGCTAAAAAATATTTGGGGTTATCAAACAGCAACCCCATAATCATTTATCTTAAAATACATTCCCTCTGTCCCATGGTTCTATTTGAAAACAATTAACACTTTTAAATGCCAAGTGAACCATCAAATAATTAAAAAAATATTTAATCATCACAGTTATCATCGATGGCTTAAGTATATTATATACCCATCAAAACTATTAAACAAAATATACTTGAATTGTCTTATTCAATATTTTGCTATGATGCACTTCACCCTTGTGAACTGAAATTGAGTCTCCCTCCACTTGGTCTCCCTCTTATCAAGATAAAGATTTATGTGATCAGGAGTATTACTTTTCACCAAATTCAAACCTAATGGCAGACTCAATTGACATCTAAAATTCTCAAATACGTGAAACTAAATAGAGCCTAATTTAAATCCACATTCACAATAAAAAAAATGAACATGCTTCCTATCCCACTAGCCATTCTTAAAGCTATGCTAAATAAATATAACACGCTGGCACTGCCCCAAAGGAAAGGGGGAATGAACCGAGAAACTAGGAATCCCACATCAATCCACACTTCCAAGACTTCTCAGTATCAACTATCAAGTCACTACTAGGCAAAGATACAACTAAAGTATCATCATACGATATACATCACCCATCTATGAATTGCCTACATCCATGAATTGTGATTGAATTGTGTTAGAATTCAGATCAAAACAAGGCACTTCCACTCATACAGCTAGGATTCTCTCCACTTACTTTCCCTCTTATCATTTTGTTTATCCTGATCACAAATTGATCCCACCATTTTTTTCTTTCACCCCCCACCCCCACCTATCCATTTCCTGAGAAGGTTGAACTAGAACCGAACTCAGAACCATCACAAATTTTGCGAGTATAAATGTAGATTCAATTCTGCCTTACCAAAGTAGAATGAACTTTAAAATTTCAAACATGGCCAAGATCAAAGATATTTAATTGTTGGACATGGTATAATTAAATAATAACATAAAAAATATATGATTTTAATTAAATATATAAATAATCTGCATTTGAAAATGATGAATTGAATGTCATAACATCAAATAGTAGCACCGGAACTGCATTAGAATGTCATAATTAAATTAGAAATAAAGATGGCTACAATGTTTATGTTTTTATTGAATGTCATACTTATATGTGATGTTTTTGTTTTATGTTTTTATAGAGATTGCATTAGAAACGTCATAATTAAATTAAAAATAAAGATGACTACAATGTTTTATAACTGGCAAAACTTCATTTATATAGGCTTGTGTCAATCTAAATGGAATCAAAATCTGGAATGGAATATAATATGCAAATCTTTGAAGCTATTTTATCGAGATGAACAAAAAGATTTAGATCTTTGAAGATTGATGCAAAAAAATTATTTATTTATGCTTGTCAATCTAAATGGAAAAAAAATCTGGATAAGAATATGTCCAATATGATATGCAAATCTTTGAAGCTTTTAGAATCTAAATCCAATCCTGAAAGAGTCTAACATGAAAGGGCTACCCTCAAGGTCTGGTGTATGGGTCTGAGTATTATTTTCAAACACATACACATATGTAATTGTCAATTCCGACTTAGACTCGCCCCACTGATTAGCCTATCCACCGACCCGTGTGACCTCTGTCAGGAAAGGAATAGGATAAAGCCACCAAAGCTTGATGAGCTGACATAACCTCAGGATAGTTTCCAAAACCTAACCAACGAGTTCACAATCATATGACGAACACTTTGTAGCATTGTGCTAGACTCCCATAGTCCCATTCTAACTAAATCTAGACCATAGTGAAGGGATATCAACTACAAAGTATTCGGGTTTCAACTCAAGGAAGTGGATGGGGGCAAAAAAAAAATTGCAACAGGAATTGTGTAATTGAAAGAGATAGAAAAGTGACAGTTTTCAACAACACAAGGTAGACGATCAAAAAATAGTATGAACTTTTTTCGGGCAAAAAAGTTGTGTGGGACAGCATTTACAAACTTGAAGAACGCGTGTACAAAGTTGTGTACTGTGTTGTTGAAAAAATCTCATCTTAAATGTGGGGAAACAAAAAATCTCATCCCCAATTTTTAAAACAAAAAAAAAAATACTTTTTTGACAGACCGGTGCACATCATCGTCCCCGCAAAGCGAGGGTCCGGGGAAGGGTCCCGGCACAAGGGTGTGGAGCAAACCTCCCCTCGTCATTATGACAAGAGGCTATTCCCAAGGCTTAAACCGTGACCTCTCGGTCACACGGCAACACCGGAACCGGTGCGCCAGGCTCCCCTTAAAAAATCCAACTACATAAATAATACGGAGTAAAATTTATATAAAACAAAAACGTAATGGAGTACAACAATGTAGATACTTCCAGAGCATGAATGGGGAGTGATGCCCCCCCACCCCACCCTCCCGCTACCCCAAAAAAATGGTCATTTGATACTTAAAAGGCATAAAAAATTACTACCACAGTACCACCACCCAAAAAATGCCTCCTTTAAAATACTTAAAACCACATCACATACATAACTAATTTTGGGATAATGGAAGTACATCATTGTTGAACATTTAAAAAAAAAATACATTTTCAACCAAAAAACAAACAGGTAATATTAAATTTTCAGCAGATGGAGGTAAAAAAGAATAAATGAATATTTGATGGACAAAACGAGCCTTAGAAGATCTATATAGAATCATAGATGGAAGAGAAGAGAAGGGAAAAAGAAACAGAAACTATAGCCTTTGCAGGAAGGAGCCATAATTTTGCAGAGAATAGAGAACTCCCAAAGTGCCGAGCAGAACTCTATTAAGTGTGAAAACACTGGATAAATTGCCATGATTATAATAGAGAACATACCTCGATCAGCTACATTACCTTTTCGTAGGCGGTGGTTGGGCAGCTTATAAAATGGATCCAAACTAATGACTAACCAGAATGTGTTCTGGTTATAAACCTTTGCTAGCATCCATATTCCACACTAAAGAAGTGAATAGGATTAGTAAGCAAATTTTAAATAAAGGTTAGTAAAAAATGTTACTGTCCAAAAGCGGACTTCTTTTTAACGGATCTGTATCACATAGCCAATCAGAGATTGAAATTAGACCCTAGAATACCTATGCATTTTAATAATCCCGTATATAAACATATTCATACCAATATAATTATAGGTATATCTTAATATATGGAGCTCATTGATCAAAACTATAAGCTAGAACCACCACAAAACAACCTTATACACAGTACCTTGGCAAACTGAAAGTAAACCAGATCATTCACCTATAATGATGTTTGTGCTTCCTCACAACTTCTATTAGGCTCTTTTTCTTTTGTGATGAGAGTAATCAGCTCTACAATCTCCATACAAGCCATCAAACATTTCCTTTCTCTCATCAAGCAGTTCATTCCTGTGGTGCTTATCATGGTGCCTATAATTATGACTGGAATCACGCTCAGATTCGTCTTTTGGGACATGATGGTGTTGACCCCAACTAGAATCACTGCCACTATGTCCCCTTCTCTCATAATGTTTTCTAGTGTCTCTACTATGGCGGTATTCACGCTTATCCTCGAAGCAGGACTTTGACCTCGCAGCATGAAGCAATGCTTTGTCCCTTCCAGCACTGAAAGAGTGAGGACTTTTATCACATTTTCTGTCAACGTGATGATGTTTCCTCTTTGATCTTCGATCAAAACTGTCATCTGAGTTACTTGTACTTGCCTGCCTGTCTATAGGATGTTTGTACTGAAGCCGTTCTTTCTCATATTTATCATCACAGTGCCTTCCTCTAAATCTGCACGATAACCATGTCTAAGCATGCTAATTTGATTTTGAATAGGAAGTTCAAGTAAATAACTAAATATCAAACACTAGAGATTCATCTTATTAAGAAATTACTTGTCTGAGTTTGGAAGACACTCATGTTGGTGTAACAGCTGTTCAGCATGGTTTCCAGCCAAATATGCCATACTGCTGTCTTTTCTTACAACTCTGCAGAAAGGTAGAAACTAAGGAAATAAAATACAAAAAACACACAAACGGAAGAACAACATAATAAAACAATGAAGGAAAAAATAAAAATAAAACAGAATGGCAGATCTTACTTTGAGTTAGTGACATACACATTACACACTGATAGGGACCCACCTATTAACTAATAAATAGATTAGTAGCTATTAGTTAAAATGTTGTATTAGATATTAAATAAAGTGAGTTGCTGGACTACTATAAATAGAAGGTAGGCTGGGAGGGTAAGGAGGCTGTTTGGACTGTTTAGACTTGTCTGGGAAGATTGAGAATTATTTCTCTCTCTTTGGGGGCTTCGGCTCAGCTGGGGGCTTCGGCCATTGATTTCCTACTCTCTTTCTGTAATCTGTAATCGATCAACTCCATCAACATGGATATTCAACTGTTTTCTTGTTATTCTTTCTGTAATTCTTCATAAACCCTAGATAGTTCTATCATTGGTATCAGAGCAAACGTTCGTTCCTGGAGACTGAGAATCTGAATCATGGAAACGATGGAGGAATTCGAGATGACACCACGGATGGAAGAGAGTTTTGATAATATAGACAGAATGATGAAGGAGATGCAGTCGAGCATGGCCGCATCGCAAGAAAGGATGAAGACGATGATGGCCGATATGCAGGCTCGTTTCGCGGATATGATAAACCAACTTACAGATCCTTCGAAGAGTCGATCGCATAAGTCGCACCACTCGCACCACTTACATCATCGTTACACGCGAAAGTCAAGGAGTCCAAAAGAATCTGAAGAGCCGAAGCATCGCAGAATATATGGCGACCGAACTAGGAACAGTAGGCTTCATCCGCTATCGCAGGCAGATTCGCGAAATGTCTCTTCGCAGGGTTCTTCTCCTCGCTCTTCGCACAGTTCTTGGCATCGTTCTTCGCATAGCTATTCACATAGCTCTTCTCATCGCTCTTCGCATCACCATCCGCAGAATTCCTCTTCGGACCTCAGTTTTTGTCCAAGAAAATCACCAGTCGATTTTCACTATTTCCCTTCTTCTGCTCAGATCGTCTCTCTGAGTTCGCCAGATTTATCGCAAGAAGGATTTATCCCTGCGCAAGAGATTCTCCCATCCATAAAGAAGACTGAGAGAGAGCCAACTGAACCTGGAATGAAGCAAGTGAATAAGAAAGACGAAATCAAGGAGAAACGACAGGTTATTCAAGGGCCAGATTATGCTTATTCTAATCTTGCAGAGGGTGTGGATTTAACTTCCAACCAAGTTTCTATTGCTGACAAGCTTATTCAGCCATGTTCTGTTGGAAATAGAGCCCTAATTGTTTCTGAAACTGTTCTTGTCAAAAGTCAACTATGTTTACAACCAAAGGAAAGGTTATCAGAAAAATTATGTGTTGGTAAAAATAAAACTGGTACAGAGGCTCAGGAGAAGGAGGTTGGGCTTGTTTCAGGTGAATTTGCTATCATCCAGGGAAAACGTACACAGATTAATGCTGCTGATAAGTATAACCATGGCCAACACCTCGAATTACAACAAGCTGAATTTCAGCCAGGGGTTGAGAGCATGTTAGACTACCCCAAGCCTGACTTACATAATTCCCTTAGAACACATGAAAGTTATCAATTGTTGGGAGACATCTCAGAAATGACAGCTCATAACCTATTACTTCCTGAGGTTTATAAAGTCTTTACAAGGTTTTTACAGAGGTTGAACCCAAAGAGTTACCAGCAAACTTCCGCTATTAGGGCTCCTGGTAGCGTACGACCCTTGGATGTTCACATTTTACCTTATGTTAGGCAAATGGGGACTAAACCACAACAACATTTTGAAGAATTGGCTATTGATACAATAGATCTTCTGACACTAGGGTTCAAACCTTTGCCAATTGATGACATCAAAGCTGTTAGAGAAGTTTCTGGTGATCCTAATACCAGGAAAATCATCCAAAGTAAGAAGCAGGAGTTATGGAAATGGAGAGAAATTCCAATGGTGAAAGAAACTGAAGAAGTAATTTTTGCCAAGGGCTGCTGGATAGTGTCTGAACCGAGGGAAACTTCACTTCAAATCTTTTCTACTGCTGGAAGTTCTGCCAATGGTGTAGGTGATACACCTCAGGAAAACAAGGAAATATGCGTAGCTATTGAGGGTCTGAAGACTAAGGAAGAAGATGAAAATTCATCAAAGATACTATATGCTGCAGTAACATCTGTGAAGTGGAAGAATCAAGTATGGAGGCGTCTTTTTCAGAAATCAATTAGATATTGGGAAGGTAGAAGCGCAAGGAGGAGGAAGAAGCAGAAGGTTTTGGCTGTCTCCTACCGCCCACCTTGAGGGCAAGGTGGATGTTAGGGGGGGAGTATTGATAGGGACCCACCTATTAACTAATAAATAGATTAGTAGCTATTAGTTAAAATGTTGTATTAGATATTAAATAAAGTGAGTTGCTGGACTACTATAAATAGAAGGTAGGCTGGGAGGGTAAGGAGGCTGTTTGGACTGTTTAGACTTGTCTGGGAAGATTGAGAATTATTTCTCTCTCTTTGGGGGCTTCGGCTCAGCTGGGGGCTTCGGCCATTGATTTCCTACTCTCTTTCTGTAATCTGTAATCGATCAACTCCATCAACATGGATATTCAACTGTTTTCTTGTTATTCTTTCTGTAATTCTTCATAAACCCTAGATAGTTCTATCACACACCCAAATTTTATATATACAACTTACTCGTTAAATGGTATTCCACTATGCATCATAGGCATGTAGGGAGAAGCACCAAAGTTTGCAGTAGGAATAACAGCTGGATTGAAAGGCATCATTCCAGGATTCCCATACATATGTGCGAATGGAGAATACATAGTGCTGTTCCAATATGGCGATGCATAGCCTGGCATCCCTCCCATAGGCATATGATTTCCTAAACACAAAGGTACCAAGTATTAAAAATTTGTGATTTTGAATTTCACGTGTCTGCAGTTGAAGTTGTATAAAAACCTGACGGAGGCATGAGATGACAATTTGAAGGACACTCTTTCATAAGATGTTCCGGAGAACCACAAATGTAACAAGTGCGCCCAACCTGAGTTCCATTATACATATAAGTAGATGAAACGGGGCGTTCAATTTTTTCAGTAAAATTTGTACCATCAAATATCAATTTTCCCATGAAAGCTTCATTTACTAAGGTATCACCACTAAGATTGATGCCTAAAGCCCTAGACAGAAGTGCAGCAATTAAGATATGCATTATTTATGGGAGAACCCATTTCACACACATAGCAGGCATAAATACTTCTCAAATGTACCTGTTTAAGCCTACCAGTAGCCCAACACTTCGTCTGTAGGCCTGAAAAGTATACATTAAACATTATGTTGATGTTTTAAAACCTATGCTGAATGAATACAACAGGACGTGGAAACTACATAAACCAATGTTCATACATCAAATTAAGGGTATGTTTGGCATCGCTCCAGTTTTTGGTTTTATGGTTTTAAAGATGTGTGTCATGTAATACACCAAAATGCAGTCTTACCAGTGTTATTAATAGTGGATGGCAAATTATGGCAGATGGCCGAAAAGCGCCATGTTGCGCCGCCGTGGACCAATTATTCTTCACAATTTTCATATAGTGTTCTGCTATATTTCTGCCACCGCCATCCACCATGGCCACCATTTGAAAACAATGAGCCATACTTATAATAAAAATGTTAATTTTATAAACAGGACATTTTTCTGATTTTCATAATCCAATTTTCAGTTTTCGAAGATAAAAACAGAACAGAAAAACTTAAAAGGCCCAAAGAAGTCATTAGCTCAACTGTAAGCCTGTAATTAATTCAAAACATCTTCTATCACTTTGTGTCCTCCCTTCTCACCTAGGAAATGTAAAGATTTGCATTTTGGTTCTTGAAGTGTACTCATATTAGGGGTGGGATACATATTGTGACGCATGCATGTCGCAGTGTGTACCCAATGTGTCCAGAACACATAATTCAACTCTTTAGAAGTGTCCGTGCGTCACAGATTTCAAGAAAAATGTGTGGCGCTTTAAAATAACCAATATTACCTCCTGTGCGGACATATGGCCGTTCGTTCCTCTTCATGGTAGATTCTGCTGCAGTATAAATAGAAACGTCAAAGCTCATGGAGGAATTATTAACTAATCGTTAAAAAAGTCATTAGGGAAAGCATTAAAGTACATTCAAAATGAGACTATGCATGCCCAATCTAAAATCAAATAATCCAATCTAAAAACAATCACTAAACCTATTTCGCCTGACAACTCTTCGTCTTCCAGCCAATTTCAACTCATCACTGCATTTTCAGATTTTATTTAAAAATATTTCTCTTTAATATCAAGCATACAAGTAATCAATTCTATTCATTATTTTCACTAGACCAATATTTTATTTAGCATAAGTGTAGACACTCTTTTTTCTTTTTTCTCTGTTGAATCAACAAGTATATATGAATCATCTGTGATTTATTTATTTCATTTTCAGTGCTATTTATCCAATATTTAGATATGTTTCATTTGGCTTATCCATCTAGATAAATTGGATTTATTTTTAACATTACAAAATTAACACATTACATACGTAGTATATGTCATATATTATTACAATTTACAAATTTACAATCTATGTTTTTATTTTGCCTTTTAAGCTAGTATGTTGATTTTCTAATGTCCATATTTATAATGAAGCTCAATTTTATTTCTTTGTAGTTATCAAGTATCAGTTTGTCACAGGTTCGAAATCCAGTTGTGCTCTATGTAGTGTAGTGTGCTAGCACATTGCATACTTAGAGCTCCAATGCGTAGGCCCGCCATTGCATACGACTAGCAAAGAAGCTACCCTTCCTTCCCTAGATAATAGACCTATACCTATTCTGCAACCTACATGACCTCAACTTCATACTTTTGCATAGAAAATTGTTGGGGAAAACTGTCAAATAGGTCCTTATACTATAATCAAAAAGTCAATTAGGTCCTCGTACTTTTAAATGATTCAATCAAGTCCTTAAACTATTAAAAAAACACTCAATCGGGTTTTTTTACCGGTAAGTAAACGGTCAGTAGCTTAATTTAAACATGTGGAATCCACGTGGCTGATTTAACATTTTTCTTTTCTTTCTTTTTTCATTTTTCCTCTCTCGTGTTTTTTCTTCCGCACAACCCCCAAGCCCGCTGGCTTTCTCCCCCCAAGCCCCCACCAACCCATTCTCCTTTCTTCTTCTCCTCAATCCCCCAACCCACTTTGCTTAATTTAAACATGTGGAATCCACGTGGCTGATTTAACATTTTTTCTTTTCTTTCTTTTTTCATTTTTCCTCTCTCGTGTTTTTTCTTCTGCACAACCCCCAAGCCCGCTGGCTTTCTCCCCCCAAGCCCCCACCAACCCATTCTCCTTTCTTCTTCTCCTCAATCCCCCAACCCACTTTGCTTTCTTTTTCACCCCAAGCCCCCACTTCGTTCTGCTGTTTACTTCTCCCCAAGCCTCCTACTGCCTTTTTTTTTCCTTCTCTCTCCCTTCTTCTTACTTCCTCCACCCACCTCACCCGGCAGCGGCGGTTGGTTATCACAGAGACGAATTCCAGGCGAACTTGGGATTCGAAGACGCTTTTAAATGATCTCCCGAAGTAGATAGTTCAAATTCTCCAGTGACTTCGCAGCAACAATCCCCATTTTCCAGCGACTTCGCACTAATCTCAAACATCCGCTTCAATTTGTCACCGCCGGAATCAAGTTCCATCTCCGACCAGCATCCACTTGTGCAGCTACTCGATTTAATAACATTAAAAATAATATCCTCACGGTGAGAGAGGATTGTCTACAGTGTTTCAAAGCTTTTATTGAAGAGAGCATGGGATGGGGGGGATGGTGAACCAAAATAAAAGAAGACAAGTGTATGTGTGTCATCTTCTTTCCAATAAACCAACAAAATAAAGCCACCTATCAGCCCACCTCAGCCACTACCGGGACAACCGGTAAATGCCCTGCTAATTGGAATAATTGAATGTTTTTCTATACTTTGGGGGCTTAATTGAGTGATTTTATTGTACGAGGACTTAATTGACTTTTGTGTTATAGTACGAGGAATTATTTGATAGTTTTCCCAAAATTGTTGTTTCGGAGTAAATTGACCATAAAGAAAACGGGAAAAAAACAAGATCAGAAACTTTCCATGACAGTATCAAGTGTCAATACTACCCTCACCAAACATTTTAGTGCTAAAAAATAAAAATGAACCTATGAAAGTGATGTTTGTAAAAATATGAACACCACTCTCAAAGGAAACTAAGTGCTTTCTGAAAATGTAACGACCATTTGCATTATGACATTAAAGCTGTGTGCAGCTACTCGATTTAATAACATTAAAAATAATATCCTCACGGTGAGAGAGGATTGTCTACAGTGTTTCAAAGCTTTTATTCAAGAGAGCATGGGATGGGGGGATGGGGGGATGGTGAACCAAAATAAAAGAAGACAATTGTATGTGTGTCATCTTCTTTCCAATAAACCAACAAAATAAAGCCACCTATCAGCCCACCTCAGCCACTACCGGGATAACCGGTAAATGCCCTGCTAATTGGAATAATTGAATGTTTTTCTATACTTTGGGGGCTTAATTGAGTGATTTTATTGTACGAGGACTTAATTGACTTTTGTGTTATAGTACGAGGAATTATTTGATAGTTTTCCCACAGTTGTTGTTTCGGAGTAAATTGACCATAAAGAAAACGGGAAAAAAACAAGATCAGAAACTTTCCATGACAGTATCAAGTGTCAATACTACCCTCACCAAACATTTTAGTGCTAAAAAATAAAAATGAACCCATGAAAGTGATGTTTGTAAAAATATGAACACCACTCTCGAAGGAAACTGTAGAAAATGTTACATTTATTTCTTAATTATTGTGTGTACATAATTACCGGATAGATTAGATTAGAAGACTGGTCTATTAGATCAGATTAGAAGCTGTTGCTTATTGATAAGATTGTAGTTAGTCAGATCCTAAAAAATAGGATCTACTCTGGTAGTTTGTTACTTGTACATCCTGTATTTATACCCCAGCCGATTGGCATATTCAATTAAGGAATTTTATTCCCAAAACCTACATGGTATCAGAGCCTTGAATTTACACATCTCAAATGGTGGAATTCGAACACTCTGACTCATCTCCTTATTCACAAACCAGTAACCCTAACTCCCATATTAGCTCAATGGCAAACTATCAGGCCTCGGTTAATTCATCTATGCTCATCACTGGGCATAGATTGAATGGAAGGAATTACCTAGAGTGGTCACAGTCTGTCAAGTTAGCAATTGATGGCAAGGGCAAACTGGGATACCTAACTGCTGAAATCAAAGAGAGAGAAAATGGTGAAGATGGAGGTCAGAAAACTCACTTGTTACAGCATGGCTTCTCAGTTCAATGGATGCATCAATCGCCAAACCTCATATGTTTATGAAAACTGCAAAAGAGGTATGGGATTCCATTAAAGAAACCTATTCAGATCTTGAGAACTCTTCTCAGATTTATGAATTAAAAACAAAGCTGTGGCAGTCCAAACAAGGAAGTAGAGATGTCATCTCATACTATAATGAGATGGTATCCCTATGGCAAGAGTTGGACCTATGCTATGATGCTGAAGAATGGGAGAGTGCCAAGGATCTGGCAAGACACAAGAAGAGGGAGGAAAATGATAGGGTCTATATGTTCCTAGTAATAGAGACCTGGATGAAGTTAAGGGAAGAATTCTTGGAAAAAAACCTCTACCTTCAATCAGGGAGGTATTTTCTGAAATCAGGGTGGAAGATAGTAGGAAAAAGGTCATGAATAACACTCCAGTACATCATGATGAACCAGTAGAGTCCTCAACAATGATTGCCAAAGGAAATGAGAAGAAGAAGCCTTGGTGTGATCATTGCAAGAAGCTGTGGCACACTAGGGAAACCTGTTGGAAGATTCATGGCAAACCACCTGGAGAAGGACAGAAAAAGGTTGAAAGGGCCCTACATGTTGCCATACCTGAGACTCAACAGGAGCCACAAATCAATTTCCAGCAGCCTTCCTTCACAAAGGAACAGATAGAGCAACTCCTTAGCCTTCTAAATACTCAGAAAAATTCCAAACCTGAAACTTCCTCTTGTTCTTATGCCCAGAATGGTACCATTTCATCATTTTTCTGTTCTGGAAAACCTAAAAGTACCTGGGTCATTGACTCGGGAGCTACAGACCATATGACTTCTATTCCAAATCTTTTCTTTTCATATAAGCCCTGTGCAGGGGACAAAAAGGTCAAAGTGGCAGATGGCTCTTTTTCAGCCATTGCAGGGATGGGAAATATTAAAATTTCCTCATCTGTAAACCTCTCTAAAGTCCTACATGTCCCTAATTTATCCTGCAATCTTGCCTCTGTTAGCCAGTTAACTAAAGACTTACAATGTCGTGTTATCTTTTATCCTTCTTATTGCATTTTTCAGGACCTGGCATCGGGGAAGATGATTGGCAGTGCTAGGGAGGAAGATGGACTCTATATCTTTGATGAAGGAACTCAATCAAATAAAAGAGGTCAAAGAAATGCTTGTTTGCAAACTGTTTCCTTTTCAAACAATAAAGAGTTGTATTTACTTCACTTTAGACTAGGACATCCTAACTTTTATTATTTAAAAAAGATGTTTCCTCAATTATTTCTGAATAAAGATGTCTCTGTGTTTCATTGTGATATATGTGCACTTGCAAAACATCACAAAAGCTCTTATATTCCCCAGAGTTATAAACCCACTAGCCCTTTTACTTTGGTACATAGTGATATTTGGGGTCCATCCAGAGTATCAACTATAAAGGGAAAGAGATGATTTGTAACTATTATTGATGATCATACAAGAGTTACATGGATTTTTCTAATCAAAGAAAAATCTGAAGTGGAAAAGGTATTTAGGGAGTTTTATGCTATGGTCCAAACTCAATTCAATACCAACATTAAACTGGTAAGAAGTGATAATGGCCTGGAATATTTTTCTCAAAACCTAAATAACTTTTTTACTGAAAAAGGAATAATCCATCAAAGCTCTTGTGTCAATACACCAGCCCAGAATGGAATTGCAGAAAGGAAGAATAGACATTTACTTGAAGTCACTCGTGCAATCAAGTTTTCAACAAAAATACCAAAATATCTGTGGGGGGAAGCTGTTTTACATCCTATTTAATTAATTAACCGCATGCCATCAAAAATTTTAGGATTTAAAAGTCCTATCAATACTCTTCAGCAGTACTTTCCTTCAAACAGATTGATAAGTACTCTTCCACTGAAATTTTTTGGTTGCACAGTGTTTATAAAAAATCCAGAAAAATCTGCAAGCAAGTTTGATCCTAGAGGAACAAAATGTGTTTTTCTAGGTCTTTCTTCCACTCAAAAAAGGGTACAAATGTTTTGACCCTACTACCAAAAAAATGTTCATTACAATGGACACTTTTTTTGTGGAAGATAAAGCTTTTTTTGATACTCATCTTCAGGGGGAGAGATTAAGTGAAGATGTTCAAATAGTGCCACATATTCATGAAAACCTTAATTTTCTTGATATTAATCTGGATGATCATTCCTTTAATGGAAGAATATCTGAAAATGATCAAGAATTAACAACTAATGAAATAAATACAACTGAACCAATTGGAAAGGATCAACAGACAAGTCAATTCTTTGGCAAAGTTTATGAGAGAAGAGTTCAAAATCAAAGAATAGAGGAAGTCCAAGAACCTACAACTGTCTATGATTCTGACCCTGTGCCAGAGAATGAAAAAGGTAATGCTTCTAGTCATCTTGATCTTCCAATTGCCCTCAGAAAAGAAAAAAGAACATGTGTTAAATACCATATCTCAAACCATGTTTCTTATTCTAAATTATCCTCATCTTTTGCAACCTTTACTTTCAGTGTTTCTTCTATTTCTATTCCCTCAACCATACAGGATGCTCTATCTAAACCTGAGTGGAAGAAAGCTGTTTTGGAGGAGATGGAAGCTCTTGAAAAGAATCAGACATGGAAGCTTATAGAGTTGCCCAAAAGCAAACCAACAGTTGGTTGCAGGTGGATTTTTACTCCTAAATTTAAAGCAGATGGAAGTTTGGAGAGATATAAAGCAAGGTTAGTAGCTAAGGGGTACACACAGACCTATGGCATTGACTACACAGAAACCTTTGCACCAGTTGCAAAGTTGAACACTGTAAGAATCCTTTTATCTCTTGCTGCTAATTTGGACTGGCCACTGCAACAATTGGATGTAAAGAATGCTTTTTTAATTGGAAAACTTGAAGAAGAAGTATATATGAAACCTCCTCCTGGATTTGAGAATAAATTTGGTTCAAAGGTTTGCAAATTAGAGAAAGCCTTGTATGGACTGAAACAGTCACCAAGAGCTTGGTTTGATAGGTTTACAAAGTTCATAAAGAAGCAAGGGTTTAATCAGGCTCAAGCAGATCATACACTCTTCATGAAGTTTTCGGCAAGGGGGAGATTGCAATATTAATTGTCTATGTAGTTGATATTATCCTCACAGGAAATTATCATACAGAGACTAAGAACTTGAAAGAAAAACTTGCCCATGAATTTGAAGTTAAGGACCTAGGAGACCTAAAATACTTTCTGGGAATGGAGATAGCTAGATCAAAGAAGGGTATTGTTGTCTATATCTTAGATCTTCTGCAGGAAACTGGAATGAGTGCATGTAAACCAGCAGACACTCCAATTGACCCCAGTCAGAAGTTGGGAGATATTAAGGAAGGAACTCCGGTTGATGTTCACCAATATCAAAGACACTCCAATTGACCCCAGTCAGAAGTTGGGAGATATTAAGGAAGGAACTCCGGTTGATGTTCACCAATATCAAAGATTGGTGGGAAGATTAATATATCTGGCACATACAAGGCCAGATATTGCATTTGCAGTATGGTGAGTCAGTTTATGCATCATCCTTTCCAAGAACATCTTGATGCTACTTACAGGATTCTAAGGTACCTGAAGAGCTGTCCAGGGATTGTTTTTCAAAAAAAGGGAACAGTAGGAGGGTTGAAGCCTTTACTGATGCAGATTATGATGGCTCAATTACTGATAGAAGGTCTACTTCTGGATATTGCACTTATGTATGGGGAAATCTAGTAACTTGGAGAAGTAAGAAACAAAATGTAGTTGCTAGAAGTAGTGCGGAATCAGAATTTAGATCTATGGCAAATGGAATATGTGAATTACTCTGGATCAAGAGAGTAATTACAGAACTGAAGATGGAAATAGAACTGCCTATGAGACTGTATTGTGATAATAAAGCAGCCATTAACATTGCTCATAATCCTGTGCTACATGATAGAACCAAGCACATTGAAGTGGACAAACATTTCATTAAAGAGAAGATTGAAGCTGGAATTGTTTGCACACCATTCATATCCACTAAAGACCAAACAGCTGATATCTTCACCAAAGGGTTATTTAAACCAGTGTTTGAACTACTTATAGACAAGTTGGGAATGTATGATATATATTCTCCAACTTGAGGGGGAGTGTAGAAAATGTTACATTTATTTCTTAATTATTGTGTGTACATAATTACCGGATAGATTAGATTAGAAGATCGGTCTATTAGATCAGATTAGAAGCTGTTGCTTATTGATAAGATTGTAGTTAGTCAGATCGTAAAAAATAGGATCTACTCTGGTAGTTTGTTACTTGTACATCCTGTATTTATACCCCAGCCGATTGGCATATTCAATTAAGGAATTTTATTCCCAAAACCTACAGAAACTAAGTGCTTTCTGAAAATGTAACGACCATTTGCATTATGACATTAAAGCTGTAAGCTGTCTATGTTTAAGAGCAAATACCTTCATCGTGAACATGGGTGTTACATAAATTAAGAAGCTGGTCTCCTCCATCTGCAGCTACACCGTGCATGTTCTGTAGTGTGCTTCTCCTAAGTGGCGCATAAAATGTATCTGTCAAAACTTGATTTGATCCATGTCCAGTAGCTGAGGGAGAATGAGGCATTTCAGGTTCCCGTTGGATAACAGTTATAGCACACGAAATTTCCCTAGCATGAATTCCAGACTCCCCATCTGTATTTAACAATGAACCACTACCATATAAATAAAAAGGAGTCTATCCAGTCATTACAACTCATGATTCATGATTGTGTGATCAAAGATTTCTCACCAGGAACAAGTTGACACAGATTATTCGGTGAGCGAGAGCCAAGAAAATGCTCAATTGCTTGTCTAAGAGATAAGTTAGGGAGCAAATCATCCACACTACATTTAGTGGAGGAACATATTGGGCAAACTTTCTTCTCAAGGAGATTATTGCTAATACCTGAAACCAACATCATTAAAACATGAAGTTCTATATATTTTGAATGTGCACCGTGCACGAGGACCTGAACCATATTATTTACATTACCTCCGTCCCGGTGGACTTTGCCAACTTCGAATTAAGAGAGAAATAGGAAAAGTAAAAGTTGTGTGGTTGAGGTTTGTGCACAGGAGAGAGAAATAAGCAGAACCAAAAATGAGTTACTTGAACAGGAAAGTGGCAAAGTTTTGGGGACAACCAAAAAGGGAAAGTTGGCAAAGTCCAATGGGACAGATGGAGTATTATATATAATGTGAGACCACGGGTCAAGTCAGAGGAATAATGAATCTTGAATGTTCAAAAGCTGCTCAAACGTCAGTCGTGATCATGTGTTTAACCTGCAAAGCGTACTTACATGCAGAAAGCTAAATTCAACAGATCTACTCACATTTTTTACAAAAACTATGCTGGCAGCAAGGTATAAGCACGGCCTCCTTGAAAAATGTGTTGCAAAGTGGGCATTTGAGTTCTACTGGCAAATCAGCATGTCCTCTGGAAAAATAAAGTGCACCGCACTTATAATTTCCATAAGTGTTAGGTATGTATAAATATACTCCCTCTTAAATTACTTTCCATTTTAGCCAATATACCCCAAAATAATTGTTGTTAAGAAATTAAATGCATTTTAGTAGTCTACCAAACTTGCCTTTATTGACTTCTCCCATATTAAAAAATTTAGTGCCTTGATAAGAAATGTGATGCATATGATGTTCAACTTTTATAGGGATAGAAATGTCATTTTGAATTGGTCCTTAATATGAAAGCCCTTCACTAGAAGGTAAATCAAAATGGAATGGCGGTAGGAACAATTAAAAGCAAGTCAAGAGAGAACGAAATAGTTTTACTTTTCAAACTTCTTGCCTTCAGCTCTTGCTTGCACCACATCCCGTTCACGCATGTGATCATCAGAACCTGGAAAATCATACCAGAACAGAGATTATCAAGAACACTACAAAAACTAGCTCTCGGGCTACCTTTGCAAATCACTATCATTGAAATCTAGCTTTTCAGCTATAAAATCATAGTTTATACATCAAGTAATCAACTTCTTTTTCTGAACATTGCCTAGGGAGTGCATACTATGTCGCAACAAACCTTTATAAATCGCTTGACTTAAGTCACTAGACTCATGATTTTGACAATCAAACCTGAAGGAAGAAAAAGCTAAGTTAGTCCTTTTTGGAAGTAAAAAAGCTGCCAAATGCCAATTAGGTCAATACAACATTTTGATTACAGATTATAACTTCCCATAAACATTAACTGCCAACTAAATGCCTAGTGCCCTGCTAGTTGCCTGAGGAGTAACTACCCACTACCACATCAACCAACACTAATTACTGCAGACATAAATAATAATAATAATAATAGTAATAATAATAATAGTAATAATTATAATAATAATAGTAAAAGTGCCAACTAAATGCCTAGTGCCCTGCTAGTTGCCTGAGGAGTAGACCATAAGCAGCTAATCAGCAAAATGAGCAAGCATGCCTCACATAACAGGTAAACACATGCCACACCACACAAAGTAAACAGAAACTTCTACAAATGATTTAATTCAGCTTGAAAGCAAAGCAATGTGGCTACACTTTCTTCAGCAAAAATAGATGCATGGCGTAGTTGAATTCAAGAATATATTACTTGTAATCATAAGAAGAGACATCAAGGTTTTGTGTAGACAATATGCAAGACAGAATTTGGTGATTGTGCTTGGTCCTAATTTTACATTTTTCAAAACAAGGACAAATTTATTGTGTATTGTGGTGTGTCTAAACATTTTAAAAAAGAGCCGCGCAGCCTTTCGGTGATGAAAAAATGACTAGCTAGTAAAATACCTTGAGCCAGGCAGGCCTGCCCTGTCAAAGTCAACACATGAGTTTCTCTTAATGCGTTCATGATCTGATTCACATAGCACCTTCCCAAGAGGAAAGCACATTATAGTGCAAAAGTCATCAACATAATCAGATATAAGACACTATAAAATAGAAACTCAAAATCTGAAATTACCTTCTTAGTAAAATCATATCAAGTGCAAGAATGTATGATGAATTGTTAAAGTTAATGGACCATAATAGATATCAAAGTAAAGTATAAACAAACTTACTAATGGATTTAAACAATCACGACCCTGCTTAGTCAAGTCACTTATCATGGCAGGAGGCACCCTGGTACATTAAAGCAGTTTACATGAGAGGATGTCAAACACAGGATATATTCATCATTAGTAAAACTCTACAGTACGTGCAAGATCTCCATTGCTAACTATATTGATGCATCTGCATTAGAACGTATTTAGTCATTAAGCAATTCAATTATAAAGCAACAATTTTAAAGCACAGGCAACAAGAGAGAAAAGGGTACAAATAAATCTATGGCAAACTGGACTCGAGAAATGGACAGGAACAAACCTATAAGATGGCTCAAATGAGGGGGAAATGTCTAGGGCCTCTAAAAGGGTAAAATACTTCAATGACAAGAATCAGATTGTTCTTGATCAGAATGAAGAGTAGATGGAAACAACATTTTGATGAATCAATTAATCAAGGCCAAGCTGTTGAGCACAGAAACATCTTGTGCATGATAAGAAATTTAATAGAGATTACATGAGAATCATTTGAATAACTAAATTTGAGAAGGCTTTAAAAGAAATTGGAACGATATAAAATGGTTAACTTATAGGGTCCCTATTTTTTTGTTTGGAACATTCTTCTAAACATATTATAGGGTCCCTACTCCCTATTGGAGTTTGGAATTAAAGCCTAGGGAGTATGGGTCCACAATATTGGAAGACAAGTATAATCCCAAACGGCTAAACCTATTGTGACAAAAACATTTTTACCATTTATAAGAGAAAGGAAATGTAGAAGACTGCAAACGAGATCTGGATCCATCTAAGAAAAGTCATGTGAAGCAAGTTATACCTTTTAGACCTTTTAGACCAGTCTCACAATAGAAACATCAACATGATGTTGTGGACTCCTTTAGGGGCTACACATACAAATGATGCACAAAGAGTCCAAAGGCCAACAATGGGAAGTGGCTAAATGGGAATAAGGATATTGTTTTCTAATACTATTATATTTCCTTATTCTAGTTAGTTATTATGGTTGAACTGGGAAAAAATGATATTGCTTCCCAGTACTATTATATTTCCGGATTCTAGTTTTGTTTTCAATTCATGTTTCCTTTCCTATTCAAAACTCTAAAAGCAGTCTCTCTGTGTAAAGGGGTTGGTTATGGAATAAAATACTTTTGGAGAATTAATTTGTGTCTTGACAAGGTCAGGCACCAGTTAATTTAACAATAAGAATAGAGTCATTTGATTCTACAGATTATCTTCTCTTTCCCGATTAATCTCTTGAACGCGCCACTGGACTAGGGCTAGCTCTCACTTCCTTAACAATTTGGCATCGGATATGGGCACGATGGGGAACACACCAACGACAACAGAGGCGTTGAAGTCCTTACTACAAGGTGAAGATCAACGGCAGGTTGACTTAAAAGAACAGCTCACAGATATCAAGAACACCGTGACTGACTTGGCAGGAAAGCCAGCATCTTTCGCTGAGATGAGTAAAGTAGTTCCACATTGGGGAGATAGCTGCACGTTTAACCCAGCTCTTTAAAAAGAATGAGTTCACCTGGAACGTAGCAGCAGAAGCATCTGTCAAAACTTTGAAACTCCATCTGTCCACTACACCTGTGCTTCAACTCTCAGACTAGACAAAACATTTGTTACTTTTGTTGTGGAATGTGATGCTTCTAGGAAGTGGCATAGGGGCTGTTTTGCAGCAAGAGAGGGGCACCCAATAGCTTATTTCAGCCGTGAAATTGCAAACCGCCACGTGAAATTAGCTGTGTATGAAAGAGAACTCATCGATCTGGTTAAAGTCGTCACTCACTGACAGCCTTATTTGGGAGGCCAAGAATTTCTCATCTGCATCAAGCACTCCAGTTTGAAACATTTACTGGACCAGCGTTTGACCACGTCCCCACACCAACACTAGCTCAAGAGTTAATGGAATTTAATTTTTGTGTTGAGTACAAACAAGAATGCCTTAACACCGTTATTGGCAGCTCTCACAATTCCCTTTAACACCGTGTTAGACGAGATACGAGCGGTCCAGTCACTGTATGCAGAAATTCAAGAAATGAAAAGTTAAATATTTGCAGGCACAAACTATTTGTGCCACACTGCTACCCAACTCCACAATACCTACCCTCCTATCCATCTTGCACAAGATGGCACATGAAGGCGGCAAAAGAAACTCTCAAACTCCTGCTGCATGAATTCTACTGGATTGATATGAAATATTCAATGGAAAATTATACATGAAATAGTAAGACATGTCATCAACAACACAAGTGGTTAAACTTACAACCCACAGGACTAACCCAACCGCTGCAAATTCCAGAGCATGTTTGGTCAAATATCTCAATGGGTTTTGTGAAAGGCCTACCGAAGGTTCACGACAAGACCTCGGTCATCAACTAGCACACACCCTCGTGAGTGGGTTCATTGACTTTCATGTGTGAAGTATTTTTACAACACTTCTTACCAAATCACTTTGGGTGATACCCCTTTCCGATTGGTTTCTGGACGGGATCTCCCCAAACTGGTGACATATGCCGCCCGAATAGCCAAGTTAGAAGGTGTAGAGCAGGAACTACTTAGCCCGTTGGCCATGACAACACCATTTCTTGAGAACCAGTAGCGTCATTGCGCACAACTTATCCAGATTATGGCCTTGAGGGCAAGCTTTTTGCTAACGAGGGGAGTGATATTGTGGACTCCTATTGGGGCCACACTTACAAATGACACACAAAGAGTCTGAAGACCCGGGATTCAACAACTGGAAGTGGTTGAACTTGGGAGTAAGCATATTGTTTCCTAATACTATTATATTTCCTTAATTGATTTGGTTAATATGGCTAAACTGGGAAACAAGGATATTGTTTCCTTATACTATTGTATTTTAGGTTTCTAGTTTTGTTTCCAATTCTTGTTTCTTTTCCTATTCAAAACTCCACGCAGCCTCTCTATATAAAGGGGTTTGTTATGGAAAAAAAATACTTTTTGGAGAAATAATTTGTGTCTTTACAAGTTCGGGCACCGGTTATTTTAACAATGAGAATTGCTTCGTTTAATTCTACCAATTATCTTTCCCTTTCCCAATTAATCTTCTGAACTCACCCCTAGACGACGGCTAGCTCTCGCTTCTTTAACACATGCGCTATATACCTCTTTCTTAGAAAGGGGGGAAATGCTATGGGCGTCCTTGTTTGAGGTAGAGCACTTTCGTTCTCTATGATGTATACAAATGGTTAAATCAATCCTTAATTATCAAGTAGATGCAAGTGTTTTTCTTCAGTAGTACCAAAGAGAGAGAATGTAATCCAGGACAATTTAAAGGTTATTACATTTGCAGTAGAGTATAAAGTAACACCAAACCAAGTATCAGGCTAACAGTCAGTAAGCACCAACATTGGCAAGAGACATATGGAGCTCTAAATTTCATCTCCAGATATTCAACCAAGAGAGCTCTTATCTCCAAAAAACACGATACATATATATATATCAACACTTTACGCACGCCTACAAAAATTATGCAACACAGAAATGGGGGATGGCCAGCTGAGACACAAGTCTAATAGATGAGACACGGGGAATCATTGCTTCAAAAATAATTGGGACATAAAATTGGAAATACATAAATATGGGAGTATTTTTTTAAGTAAATTTTATAATTAACTGGGCATACTAAATATACTATTGACTACTTTCATGATGGAATTTGATATAGTAATACTAAACAATCATCTAATACAGTACATCTAGATTCCAAAACATGGTAAACATTAACATTTCCCATTTTCTAATGGATATACATCCACTGTGCATTTATTGAAAATATAGACTCCAACTCAGGTCGGCGGGATAGAGGCTACAACAACAACATCCCAGCCTTAATTCCAAAAGATTTTGGGGTCGGCTAACATGAATCGATACGTAATATCGGAACCAAAAGGAAAAAACCAGATAAAAAGATAAGCTATGATAAAAATATATATATAAGACATACATAAAAATGATAAAATAAAAAAGGATAAAAATAATATATATATATAAAGATAGAAGGATAAAAATTAAATACACAAGAAAGAAAAAGAAGATGAGGGGAAAAAGGATGATATGAGCAGTGTTGTTAATCCAGGATAGAGGAGCGTAGCAGCCTCCCCCGAAAACACTATAGCGGAATAGCGAATAGCGGGACGACCGCTATTTAGACGATATATATGCAAAGTACATATCATATGTGTGCATACAATTACATGTCATGCACATATCAATTCCAAGAAATGATAAACCACGAATGTATTACTCAAACATCATGAAAGTTACACTTACTAATTTACCAATAGAGGCATTAGTGTCTTAAACAAAAGAAACAAATAATTTAAGTACCTTACCTCTTAACATTAAAAAGTAAGTTCCAGATAATTCTTGATAAATTCTTAGTCATTAATATCTAATTATAACAAAATCATGGTTGTTGGGAAGCCTTGAACTACCTTAACATAGAGTTGCATGCTATAGGTTATGTTTGATCTTGGTTTCAGTTTTGACTTATTTTGGTAGGGTTATTTTGTCCCCCATGTGTTTTGGAGGGTTTATTGAGATTATTTTTCACTCCAAAAACATCTGAAAGTAAAAAGTACTCCCAAATTCCCTCAAAATTAGCACTAAAGTAGCCCTGTAAATTATAGCGCCCACTACAGACGCTATTCTTCCCGCTATAGCACCCGCTACAGCCGTTATTGCCAACCACTCCACTATAGGAAGTTCTATAACACCTAGCCCCTGCTCCGCCCCACTATTCCGCTATAGCATCACTATAGCCCGCTATTGACATCACTGGATAAGAGATCCATCCGCCACACACATACTCGTCCTCCATTTTGCTCTCTACAAAGTCAGACAATCATCCAATCCAATAAGAAGCATATCACTCCTGACTCCTCTAATCCAATTTTGTTCGGGTCTTTTTCTCCCTCTCTTCTCTGCCTCTTCTCCACACCTCTCAACTCGTCTGATATGGGCACCACTCGATCTTCTACGCACATGACCGAACCACCACAAGTGAGACTCTCGCATCTTATCTTCAATAGGTGTGACTCACACCTTTTGTCTAATTGTATCATTCATCAAGCAGTCTTTTCTTGTATGTTCACACATCCAATGCAACATGCATATATCTGGCACACTCATCTTTTAAATGTGACATTGTTTTACCGTCCAACACTCTACGCCATACAGGCCTAATTGATGTCCTATAAAATTTACCATTCAATCTAATCGACATACCTCGAATTCGATCGCATAGAAATGTTGATGCACGTTTCAATTTCATCCATCATGTTCTGATTTTATGGGATACATCTCCATCTAATTTACTGTCCTTCTAAAGTATAGATCACATGTAACGGAATATATAACTGACAAGTACTCCCTCCGTCCCGCTAAGATTGTCCCATTTTACCTTTTTGGAAAATCCCACTAAGATTGTCCCATACCAAATTTGGTAAAGTTTGTGTGATTCTAAATCATTTTACTTTATTCTTACTTTATCAATTTAATATCAACCACACAAACCCACTTTTCTTAATAATCGTGCCACCTTTTCTTGTCCCAATATTAGTGGGATGAAGGTAGTATCTTCTTACCATATGGAGTAATTCCGCTATTATCATTGCTTCTACCTACACCAAACTTGTACTTCATGTACTCCGTGTTGCTTCGACTCAGTCTGAAACTCTTGTTCTCCAATGTTTGTTGTCATACTTCCAACTTTGATTTAACACCCGATTGTATCCATCAATGAATCGTTGGCAAACATCATACAACATGATATATCATCTTGAATTGACTTTGTAAGTTCATCCACGACTATGGCGAATAAAAAAAACTCATAGCTGATCATCGGTACACTCCGACAGTAATAGGGAACTCTACGGTCCTCCCCACACTAGCACGAACATTTGTAGTACAATCCTCGTACATATCCATTATGATGGTGATATACTTGCGTGATATGCCTTTTCTAATGATGGAGGCTCATAAAATAAAACATAAAACATGTCTCTGACTAGGAAATATATCCTTGATTAGAAAAGGTGTCTCCATAATAGCCCCGGAATGTTTTGGAATATTTCAGAGAATTTATGGATGCGGAATGTCTCCAATGTGCAGAAATGAAACTTGTGGTTTGCTTACATGCTACCTATTACTAAATTACAAACACACACTGAAACCTCTTACCTGAATTTCCCAATTGAAGAGCTCAATAATAACCACATCAGAGGGACAAGATCATTAAGGTGAATATTAAACCAAGCTAATATTTTAGAACGAGGTGATGACTTAAAACCACAGCACAGAGAGCGAAGAAAACTCACGCATTAGCAGAAGGCACTGTACCAGCAGGAACCCTCTTAACAATTATACACGCACCACTCGGAATTTGAAAATTATCATCATCGTATTCTGCATTAAATTTCCAAAAAAAAAAAAAATCAAGTGTCTAATCTAACACCATAAGATCAAATTAAGTTTGTTTTTAACATTAACAGTAACGATGGCTATATCATATACACCCATAGGACTTGTGATTAACAGGAAATGAATTAAGACATAATTGAATGACCTTCACCAGTCACGGAATCGGAAAACACGAGGTCAAAGTCCTGACAAATATTAAGATTCTTATTGCGGATGATCTTCAACCTCAGCTCCCGAACCGAGATCGACTGCCGTCCTTCGAGGTCGACGGAGTCGAAAATCGCGGAGCTTCGAAATTTGAATCGGATTGACATTGATTTACCGACTTGTCTCAGCGCGATATGTAGAGGGGGAAGGAGCTCGTGCCTTCGTGGTCTTTGAGGGGATGAGTCGATGAGAGTCGAAGGGGCAATGGCAGTCGTAGGAAGCGGTTATGGTACATATAAAAAGGGCAAGGGGTGTTCGGTGTTCCTAGTTTCGGTTTTCAATTGGCTCAATTTGTTTTCCAATGTAAAAATATACTAGTCCATTTATTCATTAACGTTTCTTTGTTAAACAAGTCCATTTAGATGTCTTAATTATTTTTCATTATCCACTCACTTCTTACATTTGAATGGATAGCATTAATTTACTCCAAAAGTCAAAGGGCAGGCAAGACATTCTTCCATTAATTAAGCTCCTAAAATATCATGTCAAAAGCAGACGTCTAAGTTCAATAGGGGGTAGAGGGAGTATAAATTTGGGGTTAATTTTTTTGTTACTTCATACGTATTTAAAAAATCGTAAGATGTAAAAAATAACAATGATAAAAAATTATGAATTTTGGTATGTTTTTTTGGAAAAAATAAAAAACTTACAAGACTTTAAAAAATGAGATTTACTTTTCACGCAGCAAGATGCTAGTCAATTATTCTTGCATGACCTTCTCTCTTTCCGTCAATAAAGTAATAGATTCTCAGTGTAGGGGTGCCTCCAACCCACTTTGATGCCGCCCTATATCTTGGATTGCAATGGTTTTTGCGGTGAAAAATTCGTTTTTGGCCTTTTCACCCCAAGGTTGTAGTAATCATAATAGATAAAATCCATAAATCCAAACCACCGAACTTGAGTCAATTTAGTGGGTGTCAGTCAGTTTTAACATATTTTCGTCAGTTTTTGTCATTCAATTTCGATTCGGTTGGATTTTTAATTTGAATGTATGAGTCGTAAACCAAACCGTCATCCACTACACCATGTTAAGTAATCAATAGCAGCTAAAATATGCTATATTATCATTCCATAACATTGCACGAAATGCTATGCTAGGACCTGCTATGGAAAGTGTGAGGTTTTTATAGCATTTGACCAATTGCTATAAAAAATCAGTCAACTATAGCATTTTAAACATGCTATCAAACTAAGGTCACAAGCATAGCATTTTTCTTGTTGTCACAAAATAGAACTGCTATAATACCTCAATGGCTTTATCACAACACTTTTGATATGCTACAGAAAGCAAAAACAATAAATATTGTAGTTCTGCTATGAAACGTCTTTGATAGCATTTGTATATTTTTCACCATCATTTAAATTCTATTTAATTTATGTTGATAGCTAGGGGTGTGCACCGGTCCAAAACCGGACCGGACCGGAACCGGTTAGGACCGGAACCGGAATCATCATTTTCTTTGGACCGAAGACCGGACCTGAATCTAACCGGTCCGGACCGGCCCGGACCTGAATTTTCCGGTCCGGTCCGGTTTTGACCCTAATTGACCCGGTTTTAAAAAATAAATATTATCTTAGAGTGTTCTTAGTTGGTCCCAAATTTTTTTAGGAATAAGGCTTGGATGTTGTTGTTCTAAATTATAATTTTATGTGCGGATATGCTAAATAGACTAAATAATTGTTTATCTAGCTCATTTATTAATTTTGGAATATAGTTATCAAAACTATTCAATCGTAACAATTAGTTTCCCACAGTAATTAAAACTACAATCTTTTGTGTATATTAAAATGCAAAATCTATTATAAAGTAATAAAAACTATATTAAGTCCAAAAATATACTACGTATAAAGTACATGTGCACCTGCAAATAAAGAAACAAATAAAAAGCAGAAAAATCACATAAATAAATAAATAAAAAACAACTTAGGAAATAATTAGACACCAAATATAAACTCTGTATATATTCGTTTATATAATAAAAGACAAAAATAAGTCATAAACATAATGACTAATGATACAAAACCAAGTATATATTTTACGGGAAAATTGGTTACCGGTCCATTCCGGTCCGGACCTGTTTTTTCCGGGTTTGACCCGGACCGGACCGGACCTCGGAATCTTACCAAACTAAGGACCGAAACCCGGACCGGTTTATACCGGTCCGGTTCAGGTCTAAAATACGGTCTGACCCGGTTAATGCACAGCCCTATTGATAGCATTCCACATTGTACAATGAATGTAAAATTAGTTTCGAATAGATACTTCAATTAAAAGTACCAATTTAGACCAAACTCTAAATTCATAACATTCTCCAAGAAATTCATAATGTTACAAAAACAAAAAGTTGTCTTCGATCATCCAAAATGGTGATACATCAAACATAGTAGTAAAACTTTTGTGACTTTTAAGCATCACATATGACTTCATCTTTACCAATTGAGCCCAAACATTTCTGCAAAAAAAAGAAAAAAAAAACAACCCCAACAATGAGAATTAATATGCACATTCTTCTATTTCCTAACAAAATCAACATTAGTGGAATGTTTTGTCATATCTATTTCAACTCATTTGATTTATCAATTATACCAAACACAAAATTAATTGGTCTTATGAGTTATGATCGAGTAATTAAAATGAAATAAAAATTATATGTTGAAGTGAAATGTTTTGCCATATCGAACCCAAGAAACTCCAAAATACATTTTTTTGGAACCCAATAGAGGAAAGTCCAAAATTATTTTTAGCAAGTTATATAGCAGAAGCAAGCATATCTAGAATACGTAGATTTGGCCTTGCACTTATTTCCCTTTTTGCATAAATGATAGTCGTATAATTTCCGATTGTATATTTGTATTTTTATTAGTTTTTATTAGTTCTAGTTGTGGAAATTACACACTTTTGGTGTAATACTTTATTTTCACAATTATTTGTAATTTGTTAGATTGGGATCATTCTGAGCTTAAACAGGTCCAAGATCAATCAAATGATCATTGGTGAAGGAAAGTGCAAGAGTACAAGACAAAAAGAAGAAAGGTTCCTGATTTTGACCTGTACTCGGTCGAGTATACCTTATACTCGATCGAGTACCAAACTGATTTTCAAGGATCCGATCCGGGAACAAAGGAACATGCAAGGAAAGATTTGGGCACGTTCTATTGTCATACCCGATCGAGTACACCGACATACTCGATCGGGTATACCTATAAATTTCGACCTGACTTTGGTCGAGTATGACTCAAAACTCACCATTCTACACATACCCGATCGAGTACACTTCCATACTCGATCGAGTACCCGAGCTGCATGTCCCAAAAGCCTATAAATACACCCCCTTTCCTTCACAATTAGATACCAATTTCCATACACTTCTAAGCTCAGTCTAGATAAGTTCTTTCTTTATATTTTCTTCATGTTTAGTCTCCAAATGAGGAGCTAAACTCTTCCATCTTGGTTTTGCTACTTTGAAGCTTAATGATTTGTAAGTTATGAGTTATTTTCTTTAATCTTCTTCCTTGAATATTAATTACTTCCTATTCATATTCCATATTAATATTTTGAGCATTACTTAAAGGATCAATTAGTTTTGTTTCATATATTAATTATTACTAGAATCAATCGGTTAATACGCTTGTTATTAATTCGGTTCTTTCAATGGTAGTAAACTTGGATTGTTAATACATGCTTCTCATGGTTAATAAGTCAAGAGGAATTAATTATATTGATTAAACCAATAAACCGCTTGTGTTGAGGTTATCAATCTCAATCGTTTTCATCTTAAGTTTATTGCTACTATCAAGTTAATATACAGCGCTTGTTCTATATCGACTCGATAGTAAGTTTTATTAATGAACGCATCTCGTTATTAATAACTACCCTCGATGAACTGGATATACTCCTCGATTGAGTATTCGAGAGGAAGATAGTTAAAGATATAACCGGGATCGACGAACATTTCATTAAGTGGATAAAAGCAAAGCCAAGTCTCCTTCTCATTAATTAAACCACATAACTCGTTCATCTTCGTATTTAATTAATTAAATCAAATCAATCATAAAAAACCCCTTGTTACTTATTTCTAATTCTATAAAAAGAGAAGTGTTCCTTTCCCTGTGGATACGAACCTTACTACACTATACTACGTATTAGTGTCGTATTGTATTATTATTTTGAGTGCACATCACGACAAAGTGCACGTCAAATTTGGCGCCGTTGCCGGGGAAAGGCAATTATTTTTCTTTTTATTTTATCTAAGAAAAATCAAAAAAATAATAAATAAATAAAAATATAAAGAGTTCTTCTTTTTCTATTTCTGAGCTTTGTGAAGTATATGGTAAAATATCGTTCACTGAACGAAATCACCTACCAATCAAACCCCGAAATAGAGCAAACTCTCGAGCGGTTGAAAAATAAATTCTCAAATACCGACTCGGGAGATTCATCAAGTGCTAGCTCTAGTTCTAGCGAATCTGAAGAGCCAATCACCATGGCTCTCGAAACAAGAACGTTAAGGGAGCTCACCGCTCCAAACCTCAACCAACAACCATTGTGTATTACCTTCCCTACACTTAACGAAGGTAATACATTTGAGCTCAAATCAGGGCTCATTCATCTACTTCCTTCCTTCCATGGCTTAAGAGGAGAGGACCCAAATAAACATCTCTCGGAGTTCCATGTTGTTCGCACGAGCATGTGCCCCAATGGAGTCACTGAGGAACAAATAAAGTTGAGGGCCTTTCCATTCTCCCTCAAAGATACCGCAAAAGATTGGCTATTCTATCTTCCTTCGGGAAGTATAGATACATGGGCAGCCATGAAGAAAGCTTTCCTTGAAAGGTACTATCCAGCCTCTGTCTCCTCATCTCTCAAAAAGCAGATAAGCAATGTGGAGCAAAAAGATGATGAATCGTTCTATGAATATTGGGAACGATTCAAGAAACTTTGTGCAAGCTGTCCATATCATGGCTATTCGGAGCAAGACCTCATCCTATACTTTTATGATGGTCTTTGCAACGATGATAGGCGGATGATTAATGCCGCGTGTGGAGGAGGAATCGTTAACAAAACTCCTTCTCAAGCTATGAATCTTATCTCGGAGTTGGCCGAGAATTGTAGATATCACAACGGGAGGTCATCAACAAAAAGAGTCATGGCGGCAGAATCAACATCGTCATTAGAAAGTCAAGTTGCCGGCTTGACTTCTTTGGTTAAGGATTTTCTTTTAAATTCCAA